GATATTGAATATTAGGTCATCTTTGCATAGAATGGGCTTGTATGAATGTAATCTTGTAAATTAAATTTCTTTGATGTAGGAATACGACAAAGTTTGGTTCTATTTCGCTAATTTTTTAAATTAGTTGTGACGGTAAACGTCAAATTAGCGCTGATAACCTAACTTAATTGCTGCCTGGGAGAGCAGCACCTACCGGGGGGACGAAATACGTCACGAAGGAATTCGGCGCGCGAGCAGACGGAACGCGCGCGATTGAAACCGAACTAGTGAAGCTTTGACTACCGACACGCTCGTCCGCTTTTGTTTGTTTTGCCACTACCGATCCACTGCAGCTAACACCGAAAAATCGAGAGGACGCCCGCTCCAGTAGTAGCCAGAGCGATCGCTACCATCAAGGTGCCCTACAGCAGCCAAAGGGAGAGATCCGCGCCGACAGAGAAGCGTCGCCCCAGACGAAATTAAGACAGTGTGTGTGAGGTTTCGCCATCGAGGGCGAAACCGCGTGTGCGCGCATTCGTGACCTGCGATAAACAGACAAAAACAGTTCCGCGCAGTGCGACTCTATATCGTGTCACCTCCGTACGCCTGCAATAATAAGGTAAGCTGGCCAGCTTAATCTCGCGATCGAGGATGCATGTTAATGATTAATTTCTGAAATCCGAAGCGTGCATGTAGCGGCTCCAGTAACAAAGAGCAGCGAGCGTCCCGACAATATGTGTTGTCGATGAGCGAGCGTCGATGTAAACAAACGCGCGGGCCGACTTTATGTAATATTTGAGTAATAATAAAAGGTTCTGTCCGTGTTACTAATAAGTATTTTTCGATTCGCTTATTTCTTTTGCTTCCACTCACTTTTCCCTAGATTAGATGATTTACTGGTTGACTGACGCCTGTCTTCACATGCTCTCCGGACTGCATTTTGAGCATAGATAATTACTTTCGCCCTTTGGTTTAATTGCGCGAAAAAAATATAATTAAACGGTATTACCCCGTTACATAGTATTTTGAGTATAATTAGTTTTCGCTCGGAAGGGGTTTCAACCATTATTATTTTTTTTGCGATAAGATCCTAATTATCAAGAATGAGCGACCCTTAATTGTTACGTCTAGATGAGATGGTGTTATACGTAGCTAGACGAGATGATATTTAAAAATACTGTCGCGTAGGTAAAGGTTGGATCTTAGTCAGGAGATAAGCAGAGGTTGGTTAAAGGGATAACGCCTTTTTAGATTAGTGCGTGTAGATATAAGATAACTAAGTTTCTTACCTTGCGTGGATCAAGCTTAAAGGAGATTTTATGAAAGAGTCAGGTGTTTACACTTGATTAAGATTTATTGTTTGAAAAGACCAGTTTATAATGCTTAACAGAGTACAATTCCTATTCTGAGTGTCCGGGTAGCAAAGCTTAGAAACAATACAATAATAGTACTATACTACTGAGTTACTGAACTACTACTACTACCTCGCGGATCCTTATCCAGCCTTTTTATACCATAGGCTGACGCACCTCTTCCCTGTACTTTGCCAAATTAATATGCGATGCGTAATATTCGCGGAATTGATATGGAGAACGTGCTTAACCTAATCCATCTCGCTAGATAGATTTACAAATCTTCCCGGGAAGGTTGACAATTGGCATGATAGGAAGTTAAGTTACCGATACATGATCAGTTACCATAGCCCGTCACGTGCGTTCCTTTTAGTATCGACGTGACAATGTACCAAGGAAAATCGTGATTTTCACGCATTATCCGTTGATGAATTGAAAATGGGAAATTATCACCAATATCAGGGACAATTAGAGCAATGAATACCAATGTCAAAATTATTTCATCAATTTCCTTTACGTTCAAGGGGGCTACCTTCACATTCCTCACCTCAGGATAAGTTGTGCGGATTGTATACCACCTCCGGTCCAGCCTGCAAATTAATGCAAAAAAAATATTTAGATGTGTAAACCTATAGTTTTTTAATTGCCCAATTCAACTGCGTTATTTATTTTATTTGCTCACTTTCACTTTACTTACAAAAATTAATAATTATATCCGATATCACTGCAAACTTCAAGCGTCAATATCTCGATAATTAAGTAATACTTCTTAATTCCTGAAAATGCGAAAAATTGCCCTTGTAATGATTTACTTTGCTCAGTTGATTGCAATGACAATTCATCAATTTTTCATATGAAAAATATAAAAAACTAAAGTATGTGTATGATTCGCGCATTGCGCATGCGCAATCAAATTAGGGGTATCTCATCGGATTTGATAATGCCACGATCATTACCTATAATAAAAAGTAACTAATCATAAAGTATTTTTCTTTATTATATGTAAACGATTTTTAACTATTTCTTCCACTACAATAAAGGTCATTTTATTTGATTTGAAAATTATTACAGAAGTTTCATTGGATAGTGACATATGAGGTTAATTAATGTTCTAATTTTATAGAATTAGAATAATTATAATTTAATAACTACATATTTATGCATTGGTTTCTCTGATAAAAAATACCATCCAATATAATATGAAAAATAGCAGCGTTGTTAAATATTTCCGGTACGATACAGACTTGATTTGACTGCGCCTGTGCAGTACCAGAATCGTATAAATGTTATTGCTATTTAATAATTGTCACATGACAAATTGATGAATTGTCTAAATATTTTTTTTGCATTAATTTGCAGGCTGAACCGGGGGAGGTGAATTGTATTCTGGTCGGCGATCAAAAGCCCCTTAGTTTTTGCACAAACTACAGATTTTCTTTATCGATTAAAAGTAGAATTATGATTTTAACAGAATAACCCTCTAGTTATTCTTAAGTAACATAAGTCGCATACAAGACAATAGTTAATTCTTTTTTAGATGTACTGTTATATCAAATACCCTATTGCTATTAAATAAGATTTGAATTCTTTTATCTTAGGGCAGTAGATATTTCAATATGTTTTATTTAGCTTATACATTAACTTTGAAACCATCAAGTATAATTAAAAATATTTTGTTATAAAGGATTTATAGATTATTTTCATAATAAAATTAACAATGATCCAAATACACAAGTTATATATAAGTTATATAAGTTATCCAAATATACAAGTTGGAAAAGTTATTACTTTGCCATCAATATTCATAGGATTTCCAAAATATATATTAGTATCTATTATTTGAAAAAAAAAAAGGTTGTTTTGTATTACTGTCAAAGATAATTTTTCTGTGAAGTTGCAGCTTATAGTTATGTTATTGAGTTTATAAAATGGCCCTTATTTTATCCGTATTGTTCAGTTTGTCATCCTGTCAAAATAGATAACTGTTACATGACCACTGTGGACAATGGCATACATGAACTTTTTATTTCTAATGATCGTTGAAAGTTATGAAGCTGTCAGCTGTTGAAATAGCTGAATAGATATTCAGATTGCTATATAGATACAATGAACCATTTTCCCTATTTAACATATACAAATATTTCGTATAGATTTCTAAAATTGAATAAAAATAAAAATTGTTTTAGCCTTTTTTTATGTTGTAGCATTTTATTTATCTCTATTTATATTGCAAATATTTAGAATACCTATGAGCTTGTAACAATTAGATAGCAAATCTATTATTAATGAAATTGATGATTATCTCAATTGCTTTGTTAATAAGTTTTGATTTAGAGCAATATTAAAAAATTTTTTGCTAAAAATTTGTGGAAAGAGTTGTAAAAAAGTATACTAAATTTCTCATAAGAATATCAATGCAATCAAGTAGTAAAAATGTGATGAATTTTTTACAGGTTTTTTTGTTGCATATTTGAAAGGGTATTGTGCTTGATTTAGATTCATCCATATCTGTACTACCCATCACTCAGTATTCCTCTAAATAATATACTATTTTTAAGCGATTATCGACAATTATTTGCCTATAAATTTCTCTATACAATTTACTATACAATATTCCAGAAAAGTCTGAAAATAACAAGGATCAAACGACAATTTTATACTACCATGTAATTATTAGTAATTTTTCAGTTTAGCGGCATAAATTTTAATTATTTTACTTGCTTAATTAAAAAAAGTAATAAAATACTATTTGTAAATAAATAATTAACTCATATGATCATCAATACCTACTTACCTATTGTATAATAATTTTGTTGAAAAGTGAATGAGGCAGAGGAGGGGTGAGTGCAATGTATTATTTAAATGTGCAATGTAAATTCAAATTACAATCTGCAATACGTTTATAAATTATAAATGTAGAAAAAATCATGAATGTAAGGAAGTTAAAGAAGGCATACTTACCTAATTTTACACATACATCAATTTGTGGATTGAATATATGATAGAAATTCTTACAATTAATCTTTCACTTGTGATCAATAAAAAAGTATATAAGTATCAGTTTTTCTATACCAAGATATAAATTATAACATTCAAATATCTTTTGCCTTTACTAAATATTTAATTCCAATCAGTATAGTACTTTTAATTATTCTATATAAGAATTACGAATTTTACAATTTAAGATCTGATTATAATTAAAGTTATCAATTCAAAAATGGTCAGTTTTGATTTAAAAAACTATTCAGTACTTGTTGAGACTAATTTTAAATTACTTGTTATTGTATAATAGTTCTTTTTCAAAATCTAATATTTTTCTTGTGTATAATTATTTCTTGAAAGCCAATGTTATTTTTATTTGTTGACGCTGATGTTACCAAGGAAACGTTACACAATATTCCTCTACGCTGTTTTCGATCAACTTACAAGTGTCACGTCCCCTGCTAAAAAAGTAAACATTGATTTGGATTCGATAAAATTTAATCCATTTTGAGTCTATTTCTGAATTCCACTAATTACATTTAAAATGTATTGAACCTTACATTTAGAATGTTATTGGCGATAGTATTACTGATGACATTCAAATATGTTTTTGAATAGAAATCAATTAAATTGTATTGGAATCTTACACGGATAAATCCGTTTTAATTAGAAATCAAACGAACTTACCTATAAGTGAAGTTCGATTGTAATTATACGACAGCTTCGCTCGAAGAGATTATATTCCAAAATGTAGTATTTCCCCAGCTGCTCGCCAGATGGCATAACGGATCGGTTCAGAGATTTGAAAAAGGTGGGGCATAGTGCCCCGACGTCGATCCGTCAATCCGTATTACGTCACGTCATATGTTTAGAGTTTAATCTATAGAAAATGTCAAGTTTGAGGGTGGGTTTTTACTAATTCTTATGAAGTTAGTTATCGAATGTTAGGGTGGGATATAATCTCTTCGAGCGAAGCTGTCGTATAATTACAATCGAACTTCACTTATAGGTAAGTTCGTTTGATTTCTAATTATACTTCAAGCTTCGCTCTCAAGATTATATTCCAAAATGTAGTTTTTCAGAGTTAGTTGGCATTTTCTACGTAATAAAACATATACATACCTACACGCACATATATATATATATATATATATACATACATATATACATATGTGTGTGTGCATGTATATGTATTTTTCCTTCTTTTCTTTTTTTTTTTTTTTTTTTTTATTATCAATAAATGGTTTTGATGAAAATATAAAATTTGTCAATTACATATTAGCCTTATTACCTAAAATGGCACGTACAAACTTATCGCTTTTGTCGTTAATTATCGGTCTATTATAAAATTTGGCAAAAACTTCCGATTCTGCAGACCAACCCGCAGTTTTTTTTAATGATTTCTATGTCGACACCTTTCGCGTTAGCGGCAGATGTCGATGCATGTCTAGTTGAGTGGCCTTTAAATTTTGTTACATCTATGCCAGCTTGATCAAGGATTGTTTTGATCCACCTGCTTATTGTTTGTGAGCCAATTGATACGTATGGTTTTTTGAACGATAACAATAAAAATAATTGTGAACTTCGTTTGTTTTTTGTTCGTTCGATGTATGTTTTTATGCATCGATATACACATACACCGGGTCTTTCAATAAATTTTGGTAAAATCAAGGTTGGTTGTTTTGCGCCCGGACGAGTATTCTTTATAATATCAGTGATTCTAATGATTAACTTATTATTTTCGAAAGAGGCATTTTTTAATCTAATTTTAGAGATTGTTTGCGTTCTTTGAGCTGTACTTAAAGCTAGTAACATTGTGACTTTGTATGATAAATTCTTTATTGACATCTCTTTGTTATTTCCTAGGCTTTCTAAATAATTTAAGACGACATTAACGTCCCAAGTGAAGTTGTATCTTGACAAAGTCGGTCTTAACTTAAAACAACCTTTAAGAAATCTCCTTACTATTTGATTTTCGCCAATTTTATTGTTTGAAATAAGCGAAATCGCGCATCTATGAGAGTTAAGAGTACCATAAGAGCTTCCCTTGGAAAATTCTTTTGTAAGAAAAACGATTACATTTACATCTGTGGGTTCAAAAGTGTTGATATTCTTGTTGATGCAGAATTTTTGCCATTTACTGAGGCTCGAGCTGTATTGCTTAATAGTTGCTTTACTCAAGGACGACATCATAATGTCGATAGACTTCTCAGGTACTCGTCTCTTTAGGAATGCCTTCCTGATACAATCGCTGCTAGTAGGTGCAGGTGTTCCGCTCGTGGGTGTTGTTTTTTCCTACACACAGATAGTAGCAGTTTAGGATTCGGCAAAAATTCTATAATTTCGCTGGCAAGTAGTTCTATGAATAGTGGATACCAAGGTTGATTAGGCCACTTTGGAACAATTATTATGCCTGTTGCTTGATCATCCTTTATTTTTTGCAATGTTTGTAATATTAGTATAAATGGAGGGAAAGCGTAAAAGAAGATATCAGTCCAAGAGACCGTAAACGCGTCTATTTGTAGGGCGCTGGAGTCTGGCAACCAAGAGAAATATTTTCCGCATTTGGAGTTATCTTTTGAGGCGAATATGTCAATGTTCGGAAAACCGAAAGTTTTTGTTATTACACCGAAAGCTTCATTTGACAACATCCATTCTGCGTCGTCATTTTTGACTCGAGATAGTCTGTCTGCGTCAGTATTTTCTTTTGATGGAATGTATGAGGCTTTGAGTAGTATTTGTTTCTTCTCTGCCCATTGCCATATGCTTCGAGAAAGTTTATTGTATTTTTTGAAGCGAACGCCTCCCATTTTATTTATATATGCTACTGCAGTGGAGTTATCTATACGGAGGAGAACATTGCAATTATTGAAATTTTTACCTAGTCTTTCTATCGCAATTTTTACAGTCAACAATTCTTTATAATTTATATGATGTTGTTTCTCTTGGTTGTTCCAGAATCCGAATATTTCTCGCGACCCGTCTGTTGCTCCCCAGCCCGTATCTGAAGCATCTGTATAAATAGTTTTATGAAATTTGTATGGTTTGAAAGATTTTGAAGATTGTGGAATGCTTTTAATCCACCATTGTATGTCTTTTTTAATTACTTCAGATACGGTCATTTTCTTTCTATAATTTCCGGCCTTATTTATGAGAGCTGCTAGTTTCTCTCTTTCCATTATTTTAGTGTACATCCAGGCATATTCGACGGCATGACATGCAGCTACTAATCTTCCTAAAAGCTGTGCTAGTTCAATTATTTTACATTTGTTTTTAACTAAAAATAATTTCAATCTGGTGCATAAGTCTTGTTTTTTCTCTTTTGTTAATTCAAACGTGCAGTTTTGAGAATTTATCATCACACCTAAATATTTAATATATTGACAGGGCATTAGGGCCGATTGTTTGAAATTTATAACAAATCCTAATTTTTGTAAGAAGTTTGCAGTTGCTTCGGCATTTTTCCTACAGAATTCGCGAGTATTCGCTACGCCCAATATGTCGTCTAAATAGATTATTAATCTAAAACCTTTTTGTCTTAAATATTGTATGACAGGTTTCATGATTTTCGTGAATATGTATGGACTTGAGCACAGACCAAAAGGTAACACAATGAATTTATAATAATTCTTACCGAATTTAAAGGTTAAATATTTTTGGCTTGATGGATGTATCGGTACTAAAAGGTATGCATCTTGCAGGTCCAAAGAAAACATAAAATCGTCTTTAGATATTAGTTTTGATGCCGTTCTTAAATCTTCTATTTTGAAGTGCTCTGTTTTTACATATTTGTTAAGGCGTTTCAAGTTGAAGATGAATCGGTATGAACCATCTGCCTTTTGTCTAACGAAATATGGGGATAGGAATTGGCCTTTGCTCTTGTTACATTTGATTATAGCACCTTTTTGAACTAATTCTTTGATGCAATTTTTAGTAATTCCCTTTTGAGCTTTAGGAAAATTAGATTTTGCATTAAATAATATTTGTTTTAGCTTTTCCCAAAATGGGATTTTGTAGCCTTGAACGCATTGAAGAATAAATTTGTCTTCCGTTATCTTTACCCATTCCTTAAAAAATAATTTGAGCCTGCCGGCGATTTCGTTACCTACTTTTTGGTTTAGTCTTCGTTGGATTTTTGGGGTTGAGAGTAAGCTGGTTTGTGTTGTTGGCCCCCCTTGACTTTTTGAAAAACAGCTGTGGTCGGCCCCGTCCTCTTGTACTCGTACCTCTCGCTCGATTCGACTGAGGACGGCTCTCCGTCGAGCGTTTGCCGTTTCCCGTTTTCGCCATGGGAGTCTTAAATTTGTTTGGTTTTGTGACGTCCTTGAAGAGTTTGTCCGAGTCCTTAAATTCTTTCATTTTAGTTGAAAGCTCTTTCCCAAAGAGTTGCTCGTCTGGTTTAGCTTTCTTCAACAGAGCTTGGAATTGTTTCGTAAATTGAGGCGCGATGTAGGCCCTTCTAGTCTCACTCTCTTTGTGTTGAATGTCAGATAAGAGTTTTGCTGCATCGACTAATTTTTCAATAAATCCCTCCAGGTGTACTCCTTCGCTCTCATCCGCCTCGTTTGCAGTTGTTATGGCTGCGCCTAAAGCTGTCAGCGCTGCAGCAGCTGAGCGTTGTACTTCATACCTGTATTGGTCTTTTTTAGCAGCTTTTTCGGAGAGTTTCACCTGCAGTGGTTCGTTGAGAATTGGAGCTTCAAGGGCTTTAGGAATCTTGTATTTTTTAATAGCTTGATCACGCTCTTCTTTGTCGAGTCCTTCGATAGCATAATGTTGCCAGTATGAAATGAGTTCCGAATGAATCACCACTTCTTTGGCCTTTGATTTGTTTGGGTGTTCACCCAATGATTTCGTCACGAAAACCTGTAGAGGTTTCTCGGTGATATCCGACACCTCATGTTCTTGGTTCGCTTCGTGTTTGTTTGAGCCGGCCTTGTCAGCATTGAGCTCGGCGTCCGAGCTTTGTGTTTCGTTTCGCTCTGAAAGGAAATTCATGGAATTTCTTATTAAAGTCGAGCATTATGGAGAATTTTTGTCAATTAATATTCTGAGGTTGATCGAGTGATCTGCCTACAATCTTTTTATTTGACGTTTTTATTGTTAAGAATTTTTCTCGTTTTCGTTTTGAGACTAGTCGCGTGACTTCGTTCTCAAATCCTGGAATTTATTTGAGGCTAGTCGTATGAGTTCGCTCTCAAATCTTGCGTCTATTCCGAGGCTAATCGTATGATTTCGTCCTCGATGTTTGTATATTACACAGAGAGTGCGTGGGGCGAATTAACAATTTGTACGCGCTAAGGCGCTCTCTCTTTCACGCATAAGCGTAAATGTCTGGCCCAGAGGAGTATTGGGCGCCGGAGAGATGAAATTATTTGCCCTCTGATGAATTGATTACCTATGGATGTTTTACTTACTTGTGTCTTCCGTCCTTTGCTCGTCCTCAGAGTGCTCCTCATCCTCTGATTCCTCACTTTCCGAGTTATCATCATCGACGAAGTCTTCGGTTGATAGTTCGTCCTGAGCCTCCTTGAGCTTTCCTAATTGAAGTTCAAGTTCATCCTTCCTTTTCTTGAGTTTCTCAATTTGAGATGACACTAGTTTGCGTTTTGACATTTTCCACTGAAATTTCGCTCACTTTCACTAGAAATTACCGAGTTATTAGCAACACGTGCGCACCCGGCGACAACGGAAAGGAATATGACGTGACGTAATACGGATTGACGGATCGACGTCGGGGCACTATG